TGTGTTGAGTATATTGATATTGATTATGCGATGAGGGCTTTTTTTTTATATCTTTCGGTGTTATTTAAACATGCCAATTCTCAGAAAATATTTTCTAATTTTATTATTAGATCTTTTTCAAAACAACTGCTTTTAAAACATATAGACCCATTAAACACAAAAACTGCTCTGGCTTCGGGGCCTTCGCCCCCGACCCCACCGTGGCCCTCCTTAGGCAGACCCCTGAACCCCACGCCCAGAGAACACCCCCTTGAAATGACCTGGCTACGGGCCTGGGATTGATATTCTTACAGTTAGTGAAACCAGGATGAACGATAAAATAGCTGATTTCGAAATTCCTGGATATGATTTTTATCGGCATGATTGTAATTGCCAGGTGGGTGGTGATGGAATTTATGTTAAGTCAAAATACCAAACTGATCTGATTTGTAATAATGCAGTGCCTGGTCTGGAGACCTGTTGGATTTATTTACCACTCTCTGGCACTAGTCCTATTGCTATTGGTGTGTCTAACAAGCTCCCCAGTAATTCAGTTGCTTTTTTGGTGCAATGGAAGCAAGTCTAGCTGACATATCTGCTCAATATAATGAGATAATTTGCTTGGGGGATTTTAATTGTGACGCTTTAGTAAAATCTGGTCACTTGTGGACCAAATTGTCACAATTAATCAACCGGTACAATTTTCTCCATTTAATTAATGAGCCAAAATGTATTACGCCCGATTCTGCAAGCTGTATTGATCAGATCCTTGTTAATAAGAAGGAATTATACCGTAAATCATGGATTATCCCGACAACAATCAGTGATCATGAATGTGTTCTTACACTGCGCAAATCTTGCAAGATACAAGGTGAACCTAAAATAATTCAAGGAAGGTCTTTCAAAAATTTTAATGCTCAAGATTTTCAAAACGAGTTGAACACTGCTCCTTGGAATATATTAGAATCAGCTGAGGATGTGGACAAAGCTCTTTTTTTATTTCGAGTCTATTTTTAGCGATGTTTGTAACAAACATGCCCCTGTTATAAATATCAAAGTTTCGATGATGATGATAATAATAATTATGACAATCTGAAGTTTAATAACATATCAGTTAATAGATTGGCAATCTATACAATTCCTGAAGCTAAATGAAATTCTTTCTAAATATCAGTTAATGATGTTGAAAATGCTTTGTCCGAACTTAAAACTAATAAATCTACTGGTTTTGATGGTTTTAGTCGATGTGGGGTCCCCAAGGATCTATTTTAAGACCCGAGGCTTCTTAAGTCAGCTGCACCATGTATTGCAAATCAAATTGCGTATATTTTTAATTTGTCTATTGCCCAGGGTGAGATCCATCTCAGTAGAAGCTGGGGAAAGTTATTCCTATACATAAGGGCGGTCCTAAAGACAAGTGTGAGAACTATAGACAAATCTCCATCCTGCCTACACTAATGAAGATTCTTGAACGCCATATACACACCCAATTGTATTCATATCTTTGTTCAAAAAATCTTTTGTCTCTCCATCAATCTGGTTTCTGCCACCTTCATAGCACCACTACAACCCTTGTTGATGTTACCGACTATATTCTCGATAACATCGACAAGGGAATACAGGAATAGGAATTCTTTTGAAGAGAAGATAACCATGCCGGTATTAAAAATAAAATGCATTGTATTTTGACTATAGAACGCAATCTGATTCTGTATAGTAGAAGGCTTACAAACTTTTCCTATCACTAGCAGGCCCTAGCGTCAGTGGCGGGTCTTGAAGTGGAAGGGGCTGATGGTGTTAGGAAGGTAAAGTAGGGGATTGGTGATTATGAGGGGATAACTTGCAAAATAAGGTGATACGAGGTGATTTTTAATTACTTGAGCATGATTTGTGGGCGGGGGATGTGACTGGGGGATGGGCGAGTATTTTTTTTTCATGGGTAGGAGAGGACGTGCAGCCCCTTTGTACATCATAGATATGTCAATACCTAGCATACCCTGCAATTTACCCTACGGTCTGCCACTGCTTTCGGGTAGAAGGCAAATCACTTGCGTCCATAATGTTAACTCTTTCCCAGCTTTCATTCGATGTGGGGTCCCCCAAGGGTTTATTTTATGACCCTTATTATTTATTATCTTTATTAATGATCTCTCCAATCATATTCATTCTTGTAAAATCTCCATGTACGCTGACTATACATCAATATTTTTCATCTAAATCTTTAATTGATATTGGATTTATTCATTTTTTTATATATATGTAAGTGTTTTGCTGTATAAATTAAGTAACATTCTCAACATTTTCCCGCGGTATCTGTGGGTCACAAAAATTGGTACTGTCAACATAATTCGTTGGACCGATCTTCAAGATTCCTTTATTTTTCATGTGTAAGTTGAAGTTTTATTCTGAGATGATGATATTATATTATGTTATGTAGCAAATATTAGATGAGATATCATAATGGTTGCTGTACATTTACGTGTGATAGAGGCAAATTGTTACACTGCTATAGGGCTAGGCTAGATGACAATGTGCTTCCCACACTGTCTTAAAGATAGTACAGTACGGTACAGTATTACATTCACAGCAATGAATGAATGCGCTCGGTCGTTGACTGACCTAGTTTTGATATGCTACATTCATACATTTATTCATAATGCTAGTGTTGTAGATACTACCGTATCACTAAGTAACTATGCCATCTTGTTTGTGATATTAGAGACTCCTATTATACTTATAGTTGTTTTATAAATTATATATGAATAGTTGTGCATGATTACAGTTTATACAAATAGAATAGGCTTATGCTGCGCAAATGTGAGGTCTCACTACAAAATGAGTCTCATCATTAGAAAATCAAAAAATGAGTTTATATTACATTTTGGTAGATCACATTATAAGCTTTAATTTGGTCTTTGAATGGCTTCCCTAGGATAAATAGATCCAGAGATGTGAGCATTTAAAATTTAGATGTACGAGAACCTGGTTTTGAAAAAATCGGCCTCAAAGATAAACTAACCTGTACAAATAATAGGACTAGAATTACAGAATATGCTAAAAGAACACTATTTTAGTAAGAAAATTCACTTGAAAAGTACACAATCATAAAATATAAGTATCAAGTTATTCAAAAACATTAGAATCAAAATTTTGTAAAAATGTTGCCTTTGACCTATTTTGGTGAATATCTCAATATGATTTCACCAACGATGCGTCTCATTTCATGCGTAGTACTGTACAATAACTTAATTAAGTAGTAATGATTTAATTGTTCCCACGTAGTCTATGAAAATGTGAATTGATTGTTTTGTGTGTAGAACCCATGCTGCACATAATACTGTATAAAAGAATGAATGTTCGTTTAGGCTCCTTTTGCTAACCCCATAGGGTAGGGGCAATTTGAGTTTTATTATGTGTGATGTACTAGGATGGATAAAGTTATTCATGACGATGAGGGTGCT